TGGTATGTGCCATTGGGTAGACGTCAAGGGATCCAGTAGCTGTGCTCTCTGCTTTTTGGAAGGCTGCATTTTTAACAGTCCTTTAATTCCATCTGTAAAACTGCCATATTGTAAAGGACAAGTTAGATTTAGGGTTAGGGATAGAGCCGCTACTGGATCCCTTCTGACGTCTACCTTGCCATTGCTTCTCCCGGGGTTCCTTACTTCAAGCTAGCTTGTGGCTCCTACCTTCTGGACAGACCAAACACTGCTTACTGACATAAAAAGCGTCACTAGATGTGTGCCTGTATTTGAATATAGCACAGGAATGTCGCCACAGACACACTGATCGCTTTACCTGGCAAAGAATGAAATACAAGTGCTTTCATCAGTGGGTCATAGGCCCCATCATCGTTGTTTTATCCCCCCTCTGAGACACTGACTTAACAGACAGTAACAAGAGGGAAATCTTTTGGATTACCACTTTAACCAGAAGTGCCTTACAGTGGTAAAAGATTCAGTTGCAACAGGTTGCGATGCTGCGTGAACAGGATGCACAGTAATGAATGTTATGATTGCCTATACACTGAGCGCTGAAGGTCAGTTTGTCATTGGTGACATTACCACAGTACACAGAAACACACACAGGTATCTCTGTGAATTGCTCAGTCCACCTCCTAACATCGCTGCTTGTCTGAAACTCAGATTACTTCCACTGAAACACAAACATGTGAATACATACAAGGGTGGGTGGTTGCCTGATGTCACCCACAGCCACACATACAAATTTACACATGTACTGTACAAACATAAACCTCAATGATACCACAGCACAGATAGTCTAACTTTGATCCAACTGGTTCTCTCCTTGTCCTGATTAGCTCCCATACCAGTGCCTGAGGTCAGAATGGAGCTCTAAATGAATCTGCAGAGCTCCCTCACACCTGTGCAGCATCCCGTGACGCTTTCACATTTTCTTGCGGACATTTTCTATTTTTACATGTTCAGAGGATGATATCCTTTGTTTTGTAGTACAGATATAAAATTGGTATTTGTTTTACAATGAGTATCAAGAGTGAACAAAAATACACTGAGAGGAATGTAACGCAAGGCAACTACAGCCATAATGAGTTCTTATGTCTTTGGCCCTTAGGAGCCAGCTTTGTCCTTCAACACCTTCCAAGCCCACTTCTCTAAAACTGGCGACAGTGAGGATGACCTTACATGTCCCCTATGTCTTCCTGAATCTACCACACCCTTTGCTCCACCTTAACCCAAATGAGGAAAATGGCCTTCCTCTCCTCACTGCTCTGGCTACACCTCTCCATCTCTGCCATCGGGCTGCAGCTGAGCCCATATCTGCCCAACACCATGTGCGGCTGTACAGGCTAAAATTTTTTGCACACCTACACAATTTATCAGTAATAAACAAACATTGTCTTCTATGGGAACACATTTCTCAAATGGACAGGACCAATAATGTTCTTTGGGTACTGATAAGAACCTCTTATGAAAGTACCTTTTGAATTATTAAAATCATGGTTAGGGGTACAGATTCATTTTCTGATATAGTGTATCTCCACTAGAAAGATTAATACCTTCTCAGACATTGTCGTTCCTTTTTTCTTCAGAGTGCACTCACTCAAGTCAATATTCCAACTTCCAGAACAAATGTTTTGCATTCACAACCTTTGTGTGTACTTGATTGCTTCCTCCCCCTATGCAACAACCTACATATCTTTATAGAAGTATCCTTTAAATGGTTTAGCATCTTGCACGCCGCCCCCTCCAGGTGTAATACATTTGTGTGGCCTTCACACCTGTGTTCCTGTAGTGTCTATAACCTTTGAGTCTTGCAGAGTTGCTTGATTGTTGTTGCTATATGCCTGAAAGCAATCAGTCAGTTATTCATCTTAGTTGGAGAGTTTAACATCTTGTTCCTCTGCATAGTTTATTAGGAACACCTCCCAAGCCTTCATCAGTCTCCAGGATTGGGACTGGGTTCCCGCTAATCCCTTTCGACCTGCCATCCGACAGTTCTGCTCTGAAACACCTGGACTTCTGCCCCTGGACACTACCGACCGGGTGGGGATACACCCCTTACCCTACCATCTGAGCTGAACTGCGCTCTTGCTGCTCTGGGCTCCTTCCCTTCTTGCAATTTCTGTTTTTCTATCAAACGCCTTCATTGGATTGTACACTGACTCTGTCGCTGGTTCCTTTTTTTGTTTATAACCTTTTGCATTCTTGGAGCGATGCTGATGAGGAGCTGATTGAAATAACAGAATATCTGCATCAATAAAGACTAAACAGATGAATATTCGCCATTTGTCAATCCAAAGAAAAGAAAATGAAACAGCAGCATCTTATCAATGAAGACAAATGATTCATTATTAAAAATGAGTTGGCATACTAAAGTTAATGACAACTGACCTTGTAGTTAAAACTTAGCAGTACCCCTCTAGTTTACCTTCCTATTGCCTTTATGTACTCCACTAGATATTCATGTCTTCCCAAAGGAAAAAAGCAGGAGATGCACAAAAGTATTTCGTTAAACTGTTTTGCCAAATATATATGTATGTACAGTGTTAACAAATTTATTAGACTATTACTCAGTGTAAGGTTTATGTTACACTTGCCCGAAATTAATAGTACTAGTAATTACCAAAAATAAATTTTTATGTTTCTGTTATGGTTAATCCACCAGTATGCGCAAGCTCTTTAATTGAAATGATATTTTTAATGCTAAAATATAACTATTGTTATCCATGAATTTTTTGAATTTACTGTTTTACAAAAAATCTGAAAAAAAAATAGTTAAGCACATTATTGTTTTTTGATAAATATGCCAAATAACAGTTATTTACTTGCATTCCTGAACATAAAAATTAGTTTCTGTGGTTGAATGCAAGAATGCAAGCTGTTATCAAGGCCAAAGGAGGCCATACAAAATAATAAAGGGGATCTCAGGGCTAAATCATAGTACTGTTTTATACAAACATAATTAGTCAATAAAAATGGTAAAATACAAAAATGTGGAATTTTTGTTTTCAAAGACGAGATAAATGAGGTTTTATTCCCCCTAATTAGTTGTCGTCTGCTTCAACGGTGGCATGATAATGACGTAACGTCGCCCAAGAATGACGAACCGTCGCCCTTCGCCCAGAGGTATGCACTGTTATTGTGCTGGATAGTGTGATTGTCCCAGTCCATTATTTCATGACAAAAGATCGTTCAATATGGCCCATTGGCTACAACCCCAATTCCGAAATAGTTGGGACAAAGTGTAAATTGTGAATAAAATCAAAATGCAATGACTTTCAGATCACATGAGCCAATATGTTATTTACAATAGAACACAGATAACATTTCAAATGTTGAAACTGAGACATTTTACATTTTTGTACACAAAATGAGCTTATTTAAATTTTCTGGCTGCAACAGGTCTCACAAGCAAAAAAGGGCAGAAAAAGCAATTGATATATAATAGAATCAGCTGAAAGAACATTTAACAAGTAATTAAGTTAACTGGCATCAGGTGTGTAACATGATTGGCTATAAAAAATGGATGTCTTAGAGAGGCTGAGTCTCTCAGAAAGAAAGATGGCCAGAGGCTGTCCAACCTGTGTAGGCTTGCGTTAAAAAACTGTGGAATACTTTAAAAACAATGTTCCTCAACGTCAAATTAAAAAGGCTTTGAAGGTCTCATCATCGACAGTACATGACATCATCAAAAGATTCAGAGAAACTGGAAAAATCTCTGTGCGTAAGGGAGAAGGCCGTAGACCTTTACTGGATGCCCATGATCTTCGGGCCCTCAGACGCCACTGCATCACTCACCGGCATGATTCTGTCATTGACATTACTAAATAGGCCCAGGAATACTTCAAGAAACCACTGTCTTAACACACAGTCCGCCATGCCATCCCCAGATGCCACCTAAAACTCTATCATGCAAAAAGGAAGCCATTTTTGAGCATGATCCAGAAGTGCCGCCCTGTTCTGTGGGCCAAGGTTCATTTAAAATGGACTGTAGCAAAGTTGCAAAGTGTCCTGTGGTCAGACGAGTCCAAATTTGACATTCTTGTTGGAAATCATGGGTGTTGTGTCCTCCGGGCTTAAGAGGAGAAAGACCACCCCTCCTGTTATCAGTGTTCAGTTCAAAAGCCAGCATCTCTGATGGTATGGGGATGCATTATTGCATATGGTGTGTGACATTTGCATGCTTTAAAAAAACAACATGAATGCTGAAAGGTATATTAAGGTTTTAGAGCAACAAATGCTCCCCTCCAGACAACATCTATTCCAGGGAAGGCCTTGTGTTCAGCAGGACAATGCAAAACCACATACTGCAGTTATTACAACAGCATGGCTTCGTAGTAGAAGAGTCCGTGTGCTGAACTGGCCTGCTTGCAGTCCTGATCTTTCACCAATTGAGAACATTCGGCGCATAATTAAACAAAAAGTCTGTCAAAGGAGACCCAAAATTCTCCAGCAGCTGGAAGCCTGTACTAAACAAGAGTGGAATAAAATTCCAATGGCTAAACTCAAGATACTTGTGTCCTCAATGCCCAAACACTGCCACTCTGTGTTAAAATGAAGAGGGGATGCTACACCATGGTAAACAGGCCCCTGTCCCAACTTTTTTGAGACCTGTAGCAGCCATCAAATTTGAAATGAGCAAATGTACAAGGCTTGCTCGTATGTGACCCCTTGCTGCCAATTCAGGAGAGTGAAGACCGTTCACGGCTCTCCTCCGAAGCATGCGCCTATCAGCCTGCTGCTTCTTGTACACTCATTGATTGAATCTTCGCAAGTTCAGAATGAGGGCGGAGGATACCCGGACATGAACAGGCTTAGAATCTTCCTGACGAGCGCCCGTCTGGCCAACAGGAGGCGCTTGAGCAACGAACAAGGCAACTATTATTTTCCCTTCCTGGCAGTTCCTTCCCGATTTGCAACCCCGCAGCGCAATAGCCAATTGTGCGCTACTCTGAAAAAGCTGCCGACCACTGCCGGCTGGTCCGAGGCGGGGATCGAACCCGCGACGTGATCGTCACTTCTGCTTCGCAATGCAATGCTTTACCCAGTGAGCTCTCTGGCAGCCCGAATACACATTAATTACCAGATATTTTCACATTTGTTGTCTGTTGCTTAAAGCCAGTTCATCACTCATCAGTGAGAACGGCTGGAAATGTGATGCTAGTTAAAACCCTCTCGTTTCTCGGTGGAGAAGCTGATGTCTTATTAAGAGTACCAACGAACAAACATCAGTCACGGGTAATCGAGACAAATCTTGCGAACATCATCCGTGGTTAATTAAGCCAAATCCTGGGAATATCTGCGATAGCTAAAATCACATATCCGGGATGATATACCTGTCATCTGCTCAGCATCTGATATAGACTGATACGTGACAGAAGCAAACCGTTAATGTTGAAGCAACCCTGCGTATTTCAGAAAGTACTGAACACCATCTCGTGCAACTAGCCAATGGGCCATATTGAATGATCTTTTGTCATAAAATAATGGACTGGGACAATCACACTATCCAACACAATAACAGCACATACCTCTGGGCGAAGGGTGACGGTTCATCATTCTCGGGTGACATTACGTCATTATCACGCGATCGTTGACGCAGACGACAACTAATTAGGGGGAATAAAACCTCATTTATCTCGTCTTTGAAAACAAAAATTCTACATTTTTGTATTTTACAATATTGATTTACTAATTATGTTTGTATAAAACAGCATTATGATTGAGCCCTGAGTTCCCCATTAAGTTTTTTTGGTTTTTATGTGTTAATAAGGACTATTTGTTTCAGTTTGTTGTTTGCCAAAGAAATAACAATATAATGTTTAGTTTTAAAGAAGTTTTAGACAAATCTCGAAACGTTTTCTCGTTTTTATGACAGGTGGTCTAATAAATTTGTTAAGCACTGTACGTGAAATGTATTATTCGTGAAAAGAGAAAATGACAAGCAAGGGAGCTGGGGTGTTTGATCTCAATCTTTACAAAGGATCAAGTTAAGCAATATGGCTTCTGAGTTGTGAGGATTACATTGCTTGTTAAACAAATTTAAAAAGATGTTGCTTAGTCAGCCAAGTACATCAAGAACACTGTGTAGCCAGATCTCACTCTTGGTGCTTATATTAACTGTGCTTAGCAATACGAACAACAACAATTAAAACCCCCCTTTTAACCTTTTTCTTCGGGCGTACAGTTCAGTCCTATCGACTGTGTCATTAAGTGATTGTCTTGCAAGCCTTATTCCCCTGAAGTATTTCTGGATTACCAAAAATACACCAAGAGGAAAACTGAGGAAGTAAGTGGAGGACTTTGGGAATGAAGGAGAGAAACTAGTTCAAAACATGAGTGCAGACTTGTCAAGACTGAGGGAAGACCCAGGAAGGAAGAGTTCAATTCTTGTTTGAGCTCACAATCACTGTTCTTGCCCTTGCTTTCTTTGTTTTTTCCATCTTCTATTGAACAAAGTGATCTTCTCTATAATTGACAAATTCAGAGAAGTTCACCAAAGCTGGATGGAGGGCTGTATAAAGATCACTCTCATATTAGCTATTTTTGTTATTTTCATTGTGCATCATCAGGCTTGCTGTGGAACTTTTGAAATGTGCAAATGAACCAAATGATGTTGTTCTGTCATGTTGGCTGTGTCTTTGCAATCTTTATTTATTTATTTAAGTAGGGACAGTATATATTGATGAACATAAGCATGTAAATATGTTATAGCCAAAGGCTAATGTACATCTGTTGTCCCTATGCAGGTTGATGTTTTGAAAAACAATCCAAAAATACAATAATACATAACAAAAATACACAAACCAATAATACACAACAATTTTACAAAACAATAACAAAAAATCTATATTCAGCATCTTGATAGCTGAATTGCCATGGTACAAACCCCAATTCCAATTAAGTTGGGAAGTTATGAAAAACGTGAATAAAAACAGAATACAATGATTTGCAAATCCTTTTCGACCTATATTCAATTGAGTACACTACAAAGACAAGATATTTAATGTTCAAAGTGATAAACTTTAATGTTTTTTTTTAAAATATTCACTCATTTTGAATTTGATGCCTGCAACACGTTCCAAAAAAGCTGAGACAGGGGAATGTTTACCACTGTGTTACATCACCTTTCCTTTTAATGACACTCAATAAGCATTTGGGAACTGAGGACTCTAATTGTAGAAGCTTTGTAGGTGGAATTCTTTCCCATTCTTGCTTGATGTAGGACCTCACTTGCTCAACAGTCCGGGGTCTCCGTTGTCGTACTTTGCATATCATAATGCGCCGGACATTTTCAATGGGAGACAGGTCGGGACTGCGGGCAGGCCAATCTATTGCCCAAACTCTTTTGCTACGAAGCCATGCTGTTATAACACGTATAGAATGTGGCTTGGCATCAGGGTTGGGTTCAATTACTTTTTTCAATTACAATTGATTGTAATTGTAATTACAATTACAATTACTTTCTGGACAGAATGTTCAATGACAATTACAATTACTTTTTGATAAGAAAATCAATTAAAATTAAATTACAAAAGTAATTGATTACAATTACTGTAATTGTAATTGAAAAAAGTAATTGAACCCAATCCTGCTCGGCATTGTCTTACTGAAATAAGCAGGGACGTCCCTGAAAAACATGTCGCATTGATGGCAGCATATGTTGCTCCAAAACCTGAATGTACCTTTCGGCATCAATGGTGCCTTCACAGATGTGCAAGTTACCTATGCCATGGGCACTAACACATCCCCATACCATCACAGATGCTGGCTTTTGAACTTAGCGCTATAACAATCTGGATGGTCCTTTTCCTCTTTAGCCCAAAGGAGACGAAGTCCATGATTTCAAAAAACAATTTAAAATGTGGACTCGTCAGATCACAGCACACTTTTCCACTTTGCATCAGTCCATGTCACATGAGCTCAGGCCCAGAGAAGCTGGTGGCGTTTCTGAGTGTTGTTGATATATGGCTTTCGCTTTGCATGGCAGAGTTTTAACTTGCACTTGTAGATGTAGCAACAAACTGTGTTAACTGACAATGGTTGCCCAAAGTGTTCCTGAGCCTACATGGTAATATCCTTTACAGAATGTCGTCGGTTTTTAGTCCGCTAGGCCAAAAGGCTCAAAGGGGCTTATGCTATGCTCGGGGTCTTTAGTGGTGGTCTGTCGTGCGTGCGTCCGTGCATGCGTGCATTCGTCCGTGCATGCGTGCGTGCGTCCGTGCGTGCAGAAAGTTTTGGCTTGTCTGCGCTCTTGCGCCTTCAGTTCTTGATCGATCCTTTTCATATTTCACACGTGTAAATATGGTCATAAGGTCTAGACGAAGTTCGATTTTCAGCCGAATCGGACCGATACTTTGGCCATAGGGGGCAATCCATTTCGGCCATATTTGGCCAAGTGGGCGCAGTGGCTTTGCCATTATTTTTAATGCAGTGCCGCCTGAGGGACTGATGGTCACGGGCATTCAATGTTAGTTTTCGGCCTTGCCACTTACGTTTTGAGATTTCTCCGGATTCTCTTAATCTTTTGATGATATTATGGACTGTTGATGATGGAATCCCTAAATTCCTTGCAACTGCACGTTGAGAAACATTGTTCTTAAACTGTTGGACTATTTGCAAACGCAGTTGTTCACAAAGTAGTGACCCTTGAAGCATCCTTGCTTGTGAACGGCTGAGCCTTTCAGGGATGCTACTTTTATACCTAATCATGGCACTCACCTGTTTCCAATTAACCTGTTCATCTGTGGAATGTTCCAAACAGGTGTTTTTTGAGCATTCCACAACTTTCCCAGTCTTTTGTTTCCTCTGTCCCTGCTTTTCTGGGGTGTGTTGCAGGCATCAAATTCAAAATGAGTGAATATTTCCAAAAAAACAATAAGGTTTATCAGTTTGAACATTAAATATCTTGTCTTTGTAATTGAATATAGGTCAAAAAGGATTTGCAAATCATTGTATTCTGTTTTTATTCACATTTAACACAACGTCCCAACTTCATTTTAATTGGGGTTTGTAGTTGCTTCATTGTTGGGCAAGTGAGACTCACAGAAACTTAAGTTAATTGTGAAATAGCATATAAAGCCAAAGATTGAGTCCAAATTATCTCACGTATTACCCAATTGTTCCAAAAAAATCAATGCTGTAAAATTACAGGTTTTATATGTTAGATCTCTAGAAATATATTTACTGTACAAGCTGTTTTGGATTTTTCTGGAGTGAAAATTCTTGCTTTGGGCTTGTTTATTGAAAATTGCCCTCTAAATATCAGCATCTTTACCACAGGAGAGGTGACTCTGGATTGGTAGCCTCATATATACTGAACAACAAAAGAAACGCAAGTTAGTTCATGTCCTTGTATGGCCGGCCAGTCGAAGTAAATGCAAAACAAAGAAATAATTGAAGAAATTAGCATAAATGCACATGTGCTAATTATAAATAAGATTTTTATAATAATTACAGAAGTACTTACTTTCCAGTCAGTCTTGAATTAGCTTGTGTTTCTATTGTTGCTCATTATATCTTGTTGACCTAAGGCTGCAGAATCTTTTGACCATTTAAACATTTTTTTGAGTCCCAGCTTCAAAAGTGGCTTTTTCAGGCCAGCATCCCATATTGGTCTTTTCTGTATTGCTAAGCAGGTCCCAGTCAGTGAAGGTAAGAGCTGAGGACCTGGGAGGTGTCTGTTTCTCAAATACAGCAGACCTTTTGTTTGTGTTCTTGTATAATTGAGCATCTTGGTAATATACTTCTCTTTTTGTATTGGTCAGGCCCAGTTTGCGCTCCTTTCTTGAAAAAGGACTGACATGGAATTGTCTTCATTTCTCAAAACAACATTAGCTGACAGGTTTCTATAGGGAATGCTCTTATTATTAGTATTTACAACTTCCAAAAATTCCGAAATAGTTGGGATAAAGTGTAAATTGTGAATAAAATCAAAACGCAATGACTATCAAATCACACCAGCCAGTATTTTATTCACAATAGAACAGAGATAACATAGCAAATGTTGAAACTGGGAAATTTTACAATTTTATCCACAAAATGAGCTCATTTCAAATTTG